AATTGCTCTCCCAATACTGATTAAACACCCTGAGTAAGTTCGGAATTATAACAATTTGGACCGAAGTAAATCAGGGACCTTTAGATATTCACGTAGGAATTAAAAGGTAAAAACAGATTTATTTTATGGTATATAAATTATTATTACTTTTATTTATGATAGTAGTAATTTTATATGTATACAATTTTTTTAAATTATTTAAAATTTTATTAATTAAGTGGTTATTGAGTACTTTATAATGTATATTACACAGATTAATTTATTAAGTTTAGTTTTTGAATATATAGGTATAATTATAATTTTGTTATTAATTTTAAGTTTCTCGATAGGATTAATAATAGGTAGAAATACTTCGGTAATAAGATTGGAAAATAAAGATTTAGAAAGAATAAAGAACGCTATAAGAAAAGAAAGTAATATAAGTCAAATAAATAATGTAGGGACAATTAAATGTTACAGTTGTGGAAAGTTCGGACACATTTCGAGGCAATGTGATTTAACTGGACATTTAAATTGCACGAGATGTGGACGGAAAGGCCATTTAGTAACAAATTGTAGAAGTTTTGCAGATAATAGTTTAATATGTTTAAAATGTGGACTAAAAGGACATGTTCAGGAAACATGTAACAGATGACTATATAAAAGAGAGAATAAGTATATAAATTATAATAGTAATAGTATATCTGATTTTTATAAATTTAATTGTAAATTAGGAATAAATGATAATAATATAAATGATTTAGAATATTTGAATAAATATAAGATAAATGATAAAAAAAATTTCGAAACAGAAAACATATGCAAGATGGAGTTGGAAAATATTATAAGGAAAAATAGATGTCCTAGGATTAAAATAAATATAGGTGAAATGGAAATTAGCTTTTTATTAGATACAGGAGCCGAAATTAGTTTAATGAGTGTAAAAGAATTTAATAAATATTTTTCAAAAGATAGATTCATCACAAAGAAAATAAAGGTGAGACAGATAGATGGGAGCATGATTAAAATTCTTGGTTTTTATATAATAAAATTGATAGATATAAAGAAGGAAATAAAGTTATGGATAACGACAATAAATACGGAACCAATTTTAGGTTGGAATGACATTAAGAAGATAGGACCGGATTATAAGTGGTGGTCTTTATTCGAAAATATACAAGAGAACAACAAAACAACTAAAGAGATAATAAGAAGTGAGGTTAAAGAGAAGACTGAGTTACCTTGTTTAAGAGTCAATCAAGAGATAGTTCTCGATGAACTTAAAAATCGAACACCAGAATTTTTGATTAAATATAGAAGCAACTTAGAAGAAATTAAGAAAACAAGAGATATAAAGACTATAGAGGTAAATTCAGTCGAAATTAAACAAGAAATTAATAATATGGTAGACCAGAATGTTGTTGAAGATATTTTTGACAAAGAAATAAAGATTATTTTGAACAGGTATAAGGAAGTCTTTAAAGAAGAATTAGGTACTCTGAAAAATTTTGAAGTAGATATACGATTAGAAGAAAATTATAGGCCTAAGTTTTGCGGCATAAGAAGATTACCGTTTTCTTGGATAGAAGAGATAGATAAAGAATTAGATAAATGGTTAAAAGACGGAATAATAAAACCAATAGTGCATAGTGAATGGGCAACACCTTTAGTGCCCATAAGAAAACCAGATAACAGTTTAAGATTGTGTATAGACTATAGAGTAACAGTTAATAAGTGCGTAATAAATGAAAAGTATCCACTACCTAGAATAGAACAACTGCTAGCGAATTTAAGAGGAGACACCCTGTTTTCAAAGATTGATTTTTCGAATGCGTATTTGCAAATTAAGGTGAGTGAAAAGACAAGTAAGATACTAACGATTACAACTCATAGAGGTTTGTTTGCATTCTGTCGATTACCTTTTGGTTTGAAAATATCAGCGCCAATATTTCAAAGAACGATGACGGCGTTATTTCAAGGAATAAAAGGAATAATGTATTATTTAGATGATGTTTTGATATCTGGTAGAACAGAAGAAGAACACAATTCGAGATTAGTTAAAGTGTTAAATATTATATTAGAAAATGGTTTAAAAGCTAATTTGAAGAAGAGCGTTTTTGGAGTAAAAGAAATAAAGTATTTAGGACATGTTATAAAGGGAAATGAGATTACGCCAATTGGAAAGAATATAGATAAGATCATAAATATGAGAGCCCCGAATAATAAAGCGGAGGTACAAGCGTTTTTAGGAGCAACAAATTATTATCATCGGTTTGTTCAAAATTTTGCAGAAATTGCTACACCGTTGTATGATTTATTAAAGAAAAATAAAAAGTTTGAATGGGGAGAAGCACAGGAGAAAAGTTTCGAAAAGTTGAAAATAAAGATGGTAGAGAAGCCGATTTTAAGTTGTTTTAATGAGAAATTAAATATTATTTTAGCAGTAGATGCTTCTAATGAAGGTATAGGAGGAGTTTTGTTGCAGATGATAGATAATGTGGAGAAACCTGTTTTATTTTTATCGAGACGATTTAATAGCACTGAGAAAAATTACTCAACGATAGAAAGAGAGGCTCTAGCAGTAAAATTCGGGCTTACGAAATGTAAGGAATATCTGATAGGAAAAAGGTTTTTATTGTATACGGACCATAAACCGTTGGTAGATTTATTTAAAAAAGAGAATAAGGAACTTATGATTTCACCCCGGTTGCAAAAATGGCTAATTTTAGTTGGTAATTTCGATTTTGAAATAAAATTCAGAGAAGGTAAACAAAATTGCTTACCGGACATTTTATCAAGATTGTTTAATAAAGACATTGAAGACATAGAACCAGTAATCAATAGTTTAGAATATATAGAAGAAGAAGAAAATGTAAATTGTAATATTATAAGAGCGGTGAGAATAGATACAAGAGAAAAACCTATAACATTTGATATAGTAGATAAGATATCCCAAAAAGATGAAGAATTAATAAGAATTAAAGCTTGTTTAAAAGGAGATATAGAATGGAAAAATGAAGATAAAGCGTTTAAAAAAGTTAAGAGTGAATTAAATATAGAAGACAATTGTTTATTGAGAGGATATAGATTAGTGATACCGAATAAATTAAGAAAGGAAACCTTAGATGTAATACATTCAGGTCATCAAGGCATAGAAAGAATGAAAAATAAAGCAAGAGAATATATGTGGTGGCCTAAGATGAATAAGGAAATAGAAGAGTTAACAAGGAGCTGTGAAACCTGTAACATGTGGGCTAATGTTCCAGCAAAGAATAAGGAAGATAAATGGCCAAAGACAGACATTCCATGCGAAAGAATACACGTAGATTTTTTAGAATATGAGAAGAAAAGATTTTTTATCATGGTAGATGCAGGTTCAAAATGGATAGATTGTCAGCAAGTTTCAGGTTTATCAACAAGAGTAGCTTTAGACAAGATAAAGGATTTTGTAGGCAAATATGGTTTAATGAAGACGATAGTATCAGATGGAGGTCCAGCGTTTAAAGGTAGAGCATTTGATAAATTTTGTGATAGGTGGAATATTAGACATTTATTATCACCACCTTATTACCCAAGAAGCAATGGACAAGCTGAACGAATGGTAGCTTTAGTAAAGAGTTGGTTGAAAAAGGCAAAATATGGAGAAGGGCAATGGTGGTTATCATTGTTAGCATACAACAGTACGGAAACAGCAAAAGGAAAGTCACCAGCGGAAATATTTTTAGGAAGAAAGACGAGATCAGAATTAGATTTTTTAAAGGAAAAAGTGATAAGGAGAGAACAAGCAGAGAGTGAAAGATTTCCAGTAGGAAGTTTGGTGTGGGTATTGTTGTTTGATGGGCCTATTAAATGGGGGAAGGGGGTAATAAGCAAAAATATAGGAAAGAAAAAAGTAGAAGTAAAGATTGAAGGACAAGAAGGAACCTTTACAAGGCACCTGAAGCAAGTAAGGTGTAGAAGCTTAAGGCCTTAGAGAGAAATGAGAAATATACGAAGATTTAGAAAGGAATAAATTGATGATAGACATAGTAGGAGAATCATAATTTAGAAAGGAATAAATTGATGATAGACATAGTAGGAGAATCATAATTTAGAAAGGAATAAATTGATGATAGACATAGTAGGAGAATCATAATTTGGAAAGGAATAACGTGATGATAGACGTAGTAGGAGAATCATACGTTGTAGGAAATAAAAGGGATGTTAGACTTAATTAGGAGAGTTATATTTTATAAAGAGTTAGAGAAGAAAGTCGAAGAATATATATATATATGTGTATAAAGTATTTGATTTAGATGGCCTCCTATGTTAGAGTGGGTAACAAAATAATGAAGATAGAGATCCGAGAGGTTGACGGTTCAGAAGAGTCCAACAGATGGGTAGAAGCCGCTAGGAACGAAGCAAAACAAAGATATGGAGATTGGCTACAAGAGACGCCAACGAGAGGGGTTCACAGGATAGCACCATATAACACAAGAAAGAGAGTGGAATGTTGGGCTTGTGGGGGAGGACACAAGTTACGATATTGTCCCAGTGTAGAGTTGACAGCGAACAATAAGACGAATTTACCGATGCGAAATATGGTTGAATCAGCGAACACTTCGGGGGCAAGGGAGATCTAAAGGAAGGAGGTGTTGTATATGCAAATTCGAATGTTAATTTTGAAAAGTGATTATTCATAAATAAATGGTAGACGAAGATAATATTTTTGGGGTAATTTGTCTATGTAAATAATCTTAAATTGAACATAATATTTTTCTATAAATTTTATATATATATTCAAATATGCAAATTTTATATATTTAATTCTTCGAAAATTGTTTAATTTTTTTATATATATATATACATTGTTAATTCAAAAAGTTTAGTTTTGAACGAACGATATTTGGAAATAAAATTAATAAAACCAAAGGAAAGAGTTAATAAAGAAAAGAAAGATTTAACAAACCTATAATTCTTAAATTGCTCTCCCAATACTGATTAAACACCCTGAGTAAGTTCGGAATTATAACAATAACCAATATTAATAAATATTTTAGTAAAAAAATAGTGATTATTAAACACATATTGAAATGTAGGAAAATTTCACTCGTGTTACATCCCTGCTTAATTCTTCAAAGTCAACTTCCATTCCCCCTTCCAAAAACCACTGCTATACAGTATATAACAAGACAAGTAGTTTTGAAGATTATACGGTGGTCATTAGAAGCTAAAAAAATATATTCGTAATTTTTTTATAAATAAAAGTTGTGCGATGTTTAAACAATACTTTATATTATTGTACATGATTTCAATTAAAAATAAAACATTTGAAGAGTAAATCAATTTTCAGTTTCTACAATTGTATACCATGATCCCGCATATAGTTTCAATATTTTGTTTTGGTTATAAAATGGCATTTTTTGAGGTATCCTTATTTCTTGAGGGAATTCTATTTCATATTCACCGATTTGGCCATATTTATTCCATCCCCAACTATATAAAACATCATTGTCTATAAGCATAATATTATTTTTTAAAAAAATATAGACTAATTATTAACATTTTATAGTACTCTAAAGCAATGATGTAATAAGTAATATCGAGTATTAAAAATATAATTTTTATAAACCTGTCAAAACTATCGTGTGCTGCGAGCCGCATGCTATGTCTTTTACAATAACCTCGTTTTCATCGTCGTCACCAATTATAATTGGATGAGGGAGACATTGAATATTGGAAGCATGTTTGCGTTTGTTTTTATTATTTGCAATTTCAGTAAATTTTTGAAATTCACTTTGACAAAATTCACAAGAATCGGATAGCCCAAGTTGTCCATTTAAGTTCCATCCCCAGGTATAAATATCGCCTGTATCTGTTAATTAATTATTAAAATTAACTGATATGGCTATAAAACAAAATTTCATACTATATATTGAATAGATGGTTGATGGGCGAAAAATCATTTTTATAATAATATTAAAAATAATAGCTCTACCTGGAAAAAAAAAGTTTTAAAAATAAATCATCTAGTTAATAAATAACGGATTTTTTATGATACCCTGTCCAATGCTTTTCCTCGAAGTCTAATTTTATAAAATTCGTGCAATAAGAACCCAGGCTTTAAAAATATATTAATTAACGAATTCGTTAACCATGATCCTTACTGTGGTGAAAGCGATATATAGGTTTTAAACTAATATTTATTGCCTGATTAGTACTTATTCTTATTATTTATCAATTCATCAATAAGTTTTATATCTCCTAATTCCATTTTTCTGGATTGAGTTTTTTCATATTTTTATTATTATTCATATTAATTTTTAATAACTTAATGAAACTCGGGAAAATTTTTAATATTATAAATTTTTTTTTATTAAAATAATAATAAATATGTGATCGTCTGGATATTGGTGGAAATTTTTTGATGTAATAATAATTCAAAGTTTCATTACTCAAAAGTTTTAAGAATTGTATACTTTTTTTGTTCATTTGGCATAATTTTAATTATTTTTTTTAGTAAAAAATAATAAATAAACTATTGTTTGGATTTTAGTGAAATTAAGGCGAGCATCCCCAGAACTGGAAGAAAATCTTCCTCTCATTTATATATACATATATGTGAATATTCTTATTTTCGTAATATTAAAAATATGTTAAATTTAAGTAAATTAATTAAATTTTTAAATGATATAAATTTATATAGAACTATTTATATTTTTCCTTAAAATATATATATATATCTATATATTATCAGTTTATATATCATATTTATTCAAATATCAAGTATTTGATTTAATAGTCCTAATTTAGTAGCATCCAATACAGCACACGACTTTTTAAAATTTTTAAATAATATACTCCATTTTTTAATGTAAAATTAAAGAATTGTGTAAATTTTAACAAAAAAAAAATTATACTCCTAACTTAGTAACATTTAATATAGCACACCTTGTCCATTTTTAATATAAAATTAAAGAATTGTGAAAATTTTCAAAAGAAAAAGATATGAAATTCTTAAAACTTTTGAGTAATGAAGCTTTGAATTATTACTACATCAAAAAATTTCTATCCTATCCACACGATCGCATATTTATTATTTTTAAATAAAAAAAATATAAATAAAAAAAAAATATTTTTTTTCAAAGTATATTTATTTTAGGTAAATTTTATGAAAAACTAGTAAGTAATATTAAAGTATGTTATTTTTCGTATTTTATTCCCGTTTTTTTGGTTATGTTCTTATCTAGTTTTTAATGGAAGATTTCGGACATATTTAATAATTTTATGAATTTGTAAAAATTTATAAATTTTGAGGTTTTTTTCAAAACATTTAGGACACAGACATATATAAATAAGAATAATGGGAAGGCATGTAAAAAACGTGGTACAAATCTCTATGAAACTTGTTTTAAAATATATCATATAAAACATTTATTATATTTTACATTTTAGGTTTAGTATTATATAGAGATTTATAAAATATAAAAAACCATTGTATCACGTTTAGGTTCCGGGGTTCAGATAAAATAATTTTTTATAAAAACAAGTGATTTAAAAAATAAAATTCATCTTTCTTATTTACACAATAATTAAAAAAAATCATTAAAAAAATTTAAGAATTAAATTTTTTACTTAGCAAAATCGTATATTATTAAATTTTAAGAAAATCAGTAAAAAAAACTATTAGCTTTCAATGTTTTTAGTCTTGATCCCGAATAAGTAAGGAAAAATTCTAAGAATTTCAGATTATTTACTAAAATGTACTTTAAATTGCATAAAGCTAATTATATACATTTTCGAAATTTATTTTGGATGGAGAGGGGTGAATTTATTGGGGTAAAAAGACTGAACCCAAAATGCCCTACCGTACTTAAGATTAAGAGTGAGAGAGAGATCAGGAAAAAATTGTGAAGTTATTTTTCCTCACATCAGATAAAGGTCATATTTAAGCCAACTTTTGCTCACTTATAAATAACGAAATATCCTTATAACATTTTGTGCTTATGATTTAAGAACTTATGTTAGTAAATATATACTGAATATTTTGTTTTACTTTTAATAAATGCATTAATATGCTCATTGATTTGCGACAATGCTCTCGCATTAATGACACTACTTAAATACATTCGTAGTGAAAAAAAAGACGTGATAGAAGTCTAGCTCCAAAGTGTTCGCGGAAATAAACTCGCGAGAATGCGTTTACGATAATGTCTTCGGTATATGTTTCTTGAAAAAAAATGAACGGAATTGGTTTCGCGATATTACCTTCGCTCTAAATTTCCTTCGTGATCAAAGTCTCGCTAAAAAGTGTTTGGCAGAAATGATCTGACATGACTCAAATACATTCCATTTTAAATTTTAACTAATAAAAAATGTCCCCTGTTAGCTCCCTTTTATCTAAGAAGTAAAATGGGCAAAATTAAAAAGTTAACATTGAATTCTTGGAAAAAACATAACTTTTAGAATAGTCATAAATCATGCAAAATGAGTATTTATGACATTCAATTTGAAAAATATAACGGCTTCTATTATAGAGGTCTGCAATGGGCGGATTTTTAGCCAAAATGATCGCCCACTCGTTGTTTTAATTTTTTTTAATCCGCCCGCTCCATTTATAATTTTATGAAAAATTTCACCCGCCCTTCATTTATCTATAAATTTTGTTTAACCCGCCCGCCTAATGCTTAAAAATTATTTTAATGGCTGGTTTGGCTCTTTATTTTTTTATTTTAATATATTTCTAAATAAACATATATAAAATGCAATAAATACTATGAAGTAAAACTATTATTTTTAATAAATTGAAGTTTGTTCTGCTCATTTCGTCAGAAAAATATTAAAAGTTTACCCGCCCATTACTCTACAACTTAATTTAACGCCCAATTTTAAAAATATTTTAAAAAACCCGACCACGCCCGCCAAAAATATGGGCGGACGGGCTAAAAATCCGCCCAATGCAGACCTCTATTCTATTATCAATATTATTTTTTTTACTCAATATTAAAAAACAAAATCTAACAAAAATATAGAATTGATTGACATTATCCATATATAATAATTACCATTTAAATAAAATGGCTATTTTAGTGGTCACCAAAAAATTGGAATTAGTTATAGCAGAGTTGTTAAGATATTGCGATACTATATTTGGTGCATTTTTTGTATCGAATTTATAAAATTTCGATGAAAGTTTTATGTATATTTTTTATTAATATCACATATTTTTTTTTATCTGATGTGATGTTGTTAAACGGTCCGATTTTTTAAAAATGTCCGATTAAGATTTTAGCCAAAATAATATTATGTAAACATCGTGATTTAGCAAATAGAGGTCCAAGCCTTTCTGCCATTTATGAGGAAAATCTCCAGGCTTACATACTATTATTTTGGATAAATCTTTTGAACCCTTTTTAAAAATCAAAAAACACTTATTTGATTGATATTTCTTAGAATGATATTTAAGTCTTATCATAGCCTACCCTAAAATAATATTATCAGAAATCTTATTTTTATAATTTTAAAAAAAATAAATATGGAACAAAAAATTAATCTTATTTTCAAAAAATAAAATGAAAATGTTCCATATTCAAAAAATTTATAAAAAGAAATCTTATTTAAAGATAAAAAAATATTTAAGTTTAAAATAGATATGGAACATTTTGTTATTTAAAATTAATAAAATAGAACAATTTTTTGAAGTAGCCACATTTTAAAAATCACCAGACTAGATATTTATAATCCTTATTGGTTTTAAACATATGGAACACTAGAAGTAGACACATTTTAAAAATCACCACTAGATATTTATTATCCTTATTGGTTTTAAACATATGGAATACTATAATATTATGCAAATTAAGATGGAATATTTGGGAATAAAAATATGTTTTTTCACATCTTAATTGTGACATATGGGCCAGAGTTTTGAAATTATTTTAATAGACTTTGGCCTAAATTTTTTTAATTTAAATTTAGCTTATTTAAAACAGTTGCTAACTTAAAAAAATATTGCATTTATTTTTTCCAATAATAATAAATTTCAGTATTATAAAAAAAATGATTGCCTAAATACACTATTATTTGTTTTCATGAAATTTATTAAATTTTTGGATATGGGTTTGGGAAAAATTTTTGTAAATTATTATTGGCTAGGAATTTTTTTTTAAACATTAAATATAAACCAGGCCAGGGCCTAGGAAATTTTTTTTACTGTAGGCTTGGTTCTCAAAAAATTAAGAAAGTAATCAGGGCTGTGAACCCACTTTCTAAATAAAGGGTTAAGAAATATCTCTGAACCAGGGTCAGGTTTAGGTGGGTTCAGGAAAAATTTATTTACATAAAATGGATAGACTAAAATAAAAAAAACAATTACATTTTTAAATATTTATTTTTTACTATACATCTATTTTGCATGTTAATTTTTTAATATTGTTCAAATTTTATAATTAAAATTTTTTTTAAAAAAATAAAACAAACTCTTGAACCTTATTTTTTAAAAAAGGTTCCTGATTATATAAATTCAAAGGGTTCTAGTTCAGAGAGGTCTCTGATGTCTCCTTAATAAAAACTTTGAATGTATTTGTTAATAGTTTTTTTTTTAAAAATCACTCCTAAAAAAATTATATAGGAAATTATTCATAAATAGTGAAAGTTAATTGTATATTTATTGAATATTATAAAGCTTTGTTACTGATAAATAATAATTAACATTTAATCATGTTGTATTGAAATGTATCAGTTTTCTTCATAAATCAATATCAAATACAATCGAGTAGAATTGTTAAAAAGCCCAATTTTTAAAATTGCCCCATGCAAGCCTGAAGATTTTGCTAATGGCATAAGGCTTGTAATACCATTAAATGGTTATTGTAAGATTTTCATATTATTTTAAATGTCATAATAAAATATTTTACCAGTTAATACAATATTATGCCATCCACCAGCAGATATTTTAACAATATTTAACCCAGAAAGAGCATCAATTAGATATAATTTATCAGAACTTTGACAATCCCCAATACCTAATTCACCATGTCTATAATAACGTTTTATATTACTTTTATTAAACTCTCACCTTGAATTTCCATAAGAATACAAATTAAGATTGTCTGTCAATAATAATATATGTTCCTTTCCTATGGATATATCTTTGACTTTAATTATTTCAATAAATTGACATTTGTTCAGTTTTAGTTCATCTTTATTATGAAAAATATATATCCCACTAATTTTTATCAGAATTATGAGAGAATTAAGTTACCTATCATTTTTTAACACTATAAATAGTTCATTTGAATATATATTAGTCAATTTATTCTGAGGCATTCTTATTTTATCCATGTACTCATGATATTTTACAACTATCATACTATTTTCAATTAATACATAAATTTTATTTTGAAAAATTGTAAAGTCCATTATTTGGTGATTAATATAAACTTCTCCATATTTATCATATAAATTATGATCTATATAATAAATAATAATAATAAATAAGATTTCTATACCATTAACTACATAAATATTATTCCAATCAAAATAGATTTTATTAATAAGATCAAAGCGAGGAAATATTTGAGAAGGACTCTCTTTTTCTTCAGCGAAAGAACCTAATTTTATTAACATATGATAATGGATAAGTTTCACAAATTTTATTTATAAATTTATGTGTGCTAATCGTTATTATAGAATGAAACATGTCTATAAGTTTTTCGATCCATTGACATCTTACTTATTTTTTTAAACATGTCAGAACTAATTATCCAAGAACCGATAACGGATGATCCAGATATGGATAAAGAGGTAATAAATATAAGAATATATACATTAAATTTTTTTTATAAATATAATAGATTTTGGCAATGCCTACTCAGGATGTAATAACACGCACCAGATTGTTGGAAGGAGAAATAAGAATTATGAGAAGTGAGATTACAAGGTTAACTCATGAAATGCAGGTATAATAATACAAGCGCCTTATTTATTTGTTTTATTGGTATACTTATATTATATTAACACATAATATAATAATGGGTTTATTAGTTTTATAAAAGATTTAATGATTTAAAAAAAATATTAAATTAGACTATTTTTAAAAATATATTAACTTAATTTAAATCAATTTATGAATAAAACCTGTGATCTTAATGGACTATTTGAAAAAGCTTAAATCAATCATCTTTTGCAGGGAAAACATTTAGAGCCCTGATGATAATGTTTTATAAATATTTTATTCTCTGGACCAACAAAATAGGAAAAATCTGGTTATTTTACTACAACTTACTCTCTCTCTAATTTTATTTCCCAATTTGATTTTGATTTATTCCTCTTATAGATTACTGTACTTGATAATAATTGGGCATAAGTAAAATAAATTGAGTTTGAAATAAAAAAATTATTTAAATCAAAGATGTGACCTCAATTTAAATCCTAACCTAGGCCATTTTTAAAAGTTGAGGAGTGTACCAAAAAATTTCAATATAAAAAATTTAAAGTTAAATAAAAAGATTTTTCCATGAAATCATTTTTCATTTTCTACACATTTTTGAAAATTTTCAGTTTTTGCCATCTTTTTTTTAGTTAAAATTTTAATAAAAATGTTAATTTAAAATACTAATAATATAATAGGAATATGTTCCCTATCTTATCTTGTTTTTATATCAATTTTAGAAATTAAAAATGAAACAAAACATACAATCAAGTAAATAAAATGAAATCAATTTTTCTAGATAATCAATTTAAATTTAATTAAGATATATAGAATTTTGGTCAGCATAGGACTCTCTTTTCTTCCTTTGAATATATATTGTCAGATTTGCACCGAAATTTTAAAAAAGAGATCTTGGAACATGTTTAATTGAATAAAACATTTAAATTAATATAAATTAATTTTTTACTAGTAAATAATGTTTATATGGAGTATTAAAATAAAATGAAATAAAATTTATTATTTTATTAATATTGAATCAATATTTCTTTATGCTCTCCAAACCCTAGACCTAGATCTTTTTTTGAATTTTTTTTTATCTCTGAACATGGACCTGGACCATTTGTTTTATTGAAGGGTTCACAACTCTGCTTTAAATTATTTTGAAAGAAGATTTTATTAATATATTGGGCAAAGTTCAAAATAAATTTTATATGTATAGTCTATAAAAAAATAATTTAAAAAAACCAGTACTGTTATTTTGGCTTACAAAATATATTATAAAATAACTGATTTAAAATATTAAACATCTTAGTTTAGCTTAATTAAATAGTAAGAAAGCTAATGAAAAAAAATATATCTTAAAAAGTGAAAAATTTAATAAAAATTTTGTAGACCCCTTTTAATTTTTACAAAATTTTGTACAATCCCAAAGATTTGTGTAGCCTATATTTGGGCAAAATTTCAGCCTACTAGCTGTTATAATTTGGATATATCATGAGTCAAAGCATAAAAATGACTTTTCTGAATGTTGGTTTTTATTTAATTAATGATTGATTTAAACTACACAGACACTATCGAATAAATATACTTAATATTAAAATAGGGTAAATATACTTATTTAAGAAAATAAATTAAAAAATTTTTAGGCATCCTTTGTTCAATATTTAAAACCCTCATACAGAAAAATGGGTTGCTCCAATTTTAATTAAATTTTAAACACATTACTACTACCATTCTATATCTATATAAAAAAAATTAGAGATGGACCTTTACAACTTCTTAGGTAAAATTGATAAAAACTAAAAATGAGCTATATTTTTTATACTATAGATGACTTATATGCTACTTATTAAAACAATTAATAATGTTCCTATATGATATTTTTTAATAATATATGATTTAAAAGGCATCTATCATGACATTTTCTATGTCTGTCCTGTGGATGAAGCTTTGGAGTGTCTTTAGGCTTTCGGCTGAATAGATCCCACATATTTATTTTTAATTACTTCATATAATATGATGATAAATCTTTTTAATATAAAATGGCATAAGTTCTTTTACCGATTAATTTCAATTAATAAAAGTGTCTATGCCATATTGTATGAAAACTTGCACAAATCAGTCCACAAGCCACATCAAAATGTTATGGGGTAGCTAGTAGTGTTGTTAAAAAAGCCCTATTTGGGTCAATTTTTCAAAATGGTTCGATTAAGTTTTAGCTAAAATAATATTATATAAGCATTGAGATTTGGCAAATAGATGTCTAAAAATATTTCTGCCAGCTATGTGCAAAATCTTTAGGCTTACATAATGTTATTTTGGTTATAATTTTAATCAGGCTGGTTGTTAAAATCAACCTGAATTGGGCTTTTTAGCAACACTAGTAGCCAGAATATAAAATAAATAAATTTATATTAAATAGAATCTATTAGATTTATTTTTGCAGGTCCAATCTGTGAGAAAATTATAAGTTTTGTCCAAGATTTTTTTTCAGAGATCGAAGTCCAATTCTACCCAAAATTGTCATTTAAAAATAGGTCCGATCAAAAAAATTTATTCTGAAATATAAGATATACATCTTATTATAATACTAAATTTATTAATTACAATGAAAACTGACACTCATAAAAGTTGCCATTTTTATGCCTTTACCTCTGATATCTTCTAAATTTCCAAAACAAAAATTTGCTAACCTTAGTTTATATACTAAATTTAGTAAAAATTGGGTCATCCAAAAATCATGTTTTTTATCAATGATAAAAACTTAGAATTTTAATGATATCAAACATAATTTACTATTTTTTTAAAAAATTTCTAAAAAAAATTATTATCTAAATTTGAAAATTTATATTTAAATCATAAAATTAATGACTTCTCCTCATTTTTACTAAGAACCAAAAGGAAAAGATAAAGGAAAACGCCGAAAAGATTAAAGTAAGCAAAACCCTACCCTACTTGGTGAGTAATGTTGTCGAGCTTTTGGATGTGGACCCTAACAGAGATGCCGATGAATTTGCCGAGGACTTGATGGAGCAAGAAGGCGCAAATGTTGATCTCGACGCTCAAAGGAAGGGCAAATGTGCAGTCATTAAAACTTCGACCAGGCAGACTTACTTTTTACCAATAGTTGGATTGGTAGATGTGGAAAAATTGACCCCTGGGGATTTGGTGGGTGTCAACAAGGATAGCTATCTTATCTTAGGTAAGTGCTTGGTTTTATTTTTTTTAATTTAGGTAAAATGGTTTAGATTTTCTATAATTTTAATCAGAGATGCAATAATCCTCTAGACAGGACCTTATTGGCATAGGCTGATATTTTTAATTTTTTGCTGGTTCCAAATTATATTGATTTACCTTTTTCCCACCATAGTTATATTGTTTATAACATTTTAAATTAGCGGAAACGTTTAAAGTGGGAAATAGGAAGCGAAAAATTACATAAGAAATTATAGTTTAAAATAATTAATATACACCTTGGACACTAACTAAATTATCTCTAAAAAGAAACTCTACCACCTGAGTATGATTCTAGGGTAAAAGCTATGGAGGTAGATGAAAGACCTACGGAACAGTATGGAGACATTGGCGGGCTAGAAAAACAGATTCAGGAGTTGATCGAGGCCATTGTGTTACCAGTTACTCACAAGGATAGGTTCGATAAGTTAGGTTATTTGAAAAAAATATGAATATAATTCACAATTATTTACGAATTTATAGAATTGACAATTTTTGCAATAAGTTCAGACCTAAATAAATCGGTTATATTACTTCACAGATATAGTTGTATGTATTTGGCCACTTATATATAAAATATATCTATTGAGAAATATATATTTTATAACCATAAATATAATAAAAAAGTCGTATTGACAACATCTTAAAGGGACTTATCATTTAATATCATGTTAATCTGGAAAATCAGGATCCTCAGGGATGGATTAAAGTGATTTTTTTTTAAAATATACCTTGGAGGAAAATAATTTACTCCTAAGGCAAAGTTATTAATGGATGATGCATTCATTTTATTTAGGTTGAAAGGTAAAAATACACTATATTATTTTATTTACCTGCGAAATTTATGAATGTTAAATTAAATTAGTTGATGGTGAGTTGACTAAAAAGTATTTTACCATAATGTTAACAATAAATTATTAATATTTTTGAACTGCATTTGAATTAATCATAGAATTATCAAAAAATAGTATACATATTTATCATATACGACACACTTTTGATATTTAATCTTGACAATTTAAAAAAATAAATTATTGTAATTTATTATGTCAAAGGAATAATTTCAGGATGGATTAATGCAACATATAAAATCAAATCATTTGCAATAAAAATTTATCAATCGATTATAAAACTTAGTAAAATGAGATATGATAAGATGTTGTATTTGGAAAAAAACTAATAGTTACTAAAATATAAACATAACAAGAAATTAGTTTAAATCATGATTTATACAACGATTTAAATTGCAATTTTGATTAGTGTACTTAAGTCAAAACTAATATATAATTGTGTTTTAATAATACAATTGTAAAATTGACCACAATATCTATAAATAATAAGGTATTCAGCCACCCAAGGGTGTTTTGCTATATGGACCCCCTGGGACTGGTAAGACGCTACTTGCTAGAGCCTGTGCTGCTCAGTCAAAATCAACTTTTTTAAAGTTGGCTGGACCTCAATTGGTGCAGATGTTTATTGGTATATTTTAACATTTATATTTGAATTTATATAACCGAGAATTCAAGGAAAATGAAATAAATATATAGTGAGTTCTTATCAAATTTAACAAAGATAATCTACTCTTTTATTTAAGATGGAAAATTAAACCATTATTGTAAAATACTGATGAAAATTATGTATATTTTACATTTGCAAATAGGTGACGGTGCAAAGTTGGTTAGGGATGCATTTGCTTTGGCTAAAGAAAAAGCTCCGACTACCATATTTATTGATGAACTTGATGCTATAGGTAAATGTTTGTTAATCAAATTAATGATTATTTTAAAGCATTATTAAAAAACAATATTAGTGGATTTATTTTTAAATTTTAAAGCTGTAATGTTGTGTGACTATGCATTATGAAAATATTTTTTAATTTGTATGAACTTCTAATTATTTTATATAAAATATTCTTGAACATCTGGTGCATCTAGGGAGCGAATTTTGCACCTTCAAATGCATGAGTTATAATTAACAAAAAGCACCTTATTTTTTTACATGAATCACACTTTACTATAGGCACTAAACGATTTGACAGTGAAAGGGCTGGCGACAGGGAAGTCCAACGTACTATGTTAGAATTACTTAATCAATTGGATGGTTTCAGTTCTTCTTCAGACGTTAAGGTTTATTCACCATTTTATATACATTTTGCTTGATATTTGAGTCTGAATATTTATGGAAGCTTAAATAACCTTGTTTGAACTACTCTTTTATACATTTATATAAATGTTTTCTTACACAAACCTAAATTTTTCCATTAGGTGATAGCAGCTACCAACAGGGTTGACATTTTAGACCCTGCTCTTTTAAGATCTGGCCGTTTAGACAGGAAAATTGAGTTCCCCATGCCTACAGAAGAGGCCAGGACACGTATAATGCAAATCCACTCACGTAAAATGAACGTTCAAAACGAGGTCAATTTCGAGGAGCTAGCCAGGTATTATTTAATTTAATAAATATTAAGTTTGATGGCTTTGCATAAATAAAGTTCGAAGGATATATCACATTCACTAAGTATTTAATTATTTCTTTTTTAATGACTTGTTTGAGTTGGGATTTAACCGATTTTTAAAGGAAATTAAAAACTGGCCTTATCAAGACAATTTTTTTCCCCATTCTTAATATAGTATCACGTTATTATTATATTATAATATATATTACAAGCGGGGAAACAAAAGATTGTTTTACTGTGCGTTCCTTTATAAAAAATATATAATTTAGTACTGCAAATTTTTGCAAACATTTTATTTATTTGATAGCATTTTACTGTGCTGTTTACTATGAATATTTTTCACGACTAATAAGCATCGTCTACTAATATCCAAAGATGCTCTTTTTTCGGGATTTTCTTCTCAAATTTTATTTTCTTATTTGAAATAGAAATCGAAACTCATATAATGGAATAATTTTCAAGTTCAAATCTTTATTTTTGATAAAATTATCCTCTATCTCTACTTTAATTATTTCTCTCTTGAACTTTGGCCTCGTTTCATTTATTAGATTTTAAAATAATGTATCTAAATTAAATTACATTGTTGTATAAATACTCGAAAGATGTACGGATGATTTTAATGGTGCACAATGTAAAGCAGTATGCATCGAAGCTGGTATGATAGCTTTAAGAAGGGGTGCCACTGAACTAATTCACGAAGATTTTATGGATGCTATAATAGAGGTTCAAGCTAAAAAGAAGACTAATCTTAATTATTACGCTTAAAATGTTTATATATTTACTACTTTTGCATTATATTAATTTTTAATCGTTATTTTTTTACATGAGCTCTCAATAAAAAAATTCTATTTGTCAAAATACTGCATAATTATTTTTTAATGAAACGTTGTTTGAATCATTTTTATGATGTATCTAAATGCTTATAAGATATTTTTTTGGACAATGGTTTCAAAAAAATACTTTGTCACGTCAAAAAAAGTTTAAAAATTTTCCATAAAACATAAAGTCATTTATGTCATTGTACTTCAAATTTTTAGAAAAATCTAAAAATGCTTGGATGTGTTTTTTGTCATCAATGGTAAAAAAAATTGGGGTGCTTCAAATCGCTAAGAGATTAAAAAATTTTAATAAAAAATAATTTTATTTATAACGAATCAAAAAATACTTAAATGGATTTCTAGTGCCAACAATATTATTTTTTTTTTCAAATATAGGAAAGATTATGGTTTTTTAATAAAATATAAAGTTATTTATATCACTGAACTTCAAATTTTATAACGAATCTAAAAATATGCAGATATTTTTTTGACATCACCTGTATAAAAAATTATCTCGACTATTAAAAATAGTTATATTGACGATGACAGAAAAAAACACCTTTAAGACTTATTAATAAACGAAACCTTTTATTTTTAGAAAGTGTGGTGCCAACAAATTTATCAATTGAAGAAGATACTTTTGTTCGGAAAGTAGTACATTTAATTTAAATAATATAGTGAATGATGTATAATTAGAGGTCTTTAATTATATGAAATTTATATGGCTCATTATTATATTTAGAGAATAGTGATAAAATTTATAAAATGCTCTTTTTTTACATGATTCTAATATGCAAAAAGGTTTGGACCGGTTTTTGATGGTTAAAGCCAAACCGATATTATCATTTTTAACCGAACCATAAACCCTTATATCCTTACGGGTCAGATCAAAAGTGTGAGGGTTTGCATTCGATTATGAGAAATATCTTATTTTCTATACCCACCACCACATTCAATAAAAATCAAGTAGTATCTCTTAGTTTTTTAAGCTATTATGAGAATTTTAAATTAATACAACTAGTAAGCAGACGATAAAATTTTATGCAAACACTTGAAATATCAAATTTTTTGAATTGATATTTTGCGACGATAAATTTTTAGCTTGTATCATAAATTAACATAATTTTTGAAAAAATTAGTAACTGTGTGAATAACTAGATACATCTCAAGTAAGGTAACTGCTATTTAATTAATTATTTTTTCGACAATCTAACTAGATACATTTGAAAGTAACTAATATCATTACTAATGTAATGCTGTAAACAAACGAGTCTTCTTATTTTTATTCACTTGAAAAAAACAATATTAAACCAATTTTTGGGGGGAAATAGGTTTTAATTTGAATATTATTATTTATATCTTATGGCTCCACATCTTTATAGAGAAACCATTGTAGAGAATTGTTAATAGAGAAGATTTTAAAGAAAATGATTTTGAAGATTTTAAGATAATTATTCTGTAGAAAATCATTTTTGGTAGATTACTATTTTATTGAGATAGATTTTATATTGAATGTCTGGACTAGTGTTGTTAAATTACTGGCTCGGGTTGGTTTGGCCGACAACCTAGCAAGGTTTGAGCCGAAAAAACGAGTTTAAACCCGCGCACATCTTTAGACATAGATCAGACCCGACCCAATGGGCCTCATAAGCGGACCCAGCCCGATGAATTGGATTACTGGATAGGCTCGCTGGGAAACAAAATATATAGAAAATTAAACTCGTTAGTTTTAATCCGGGTATAGTTTTTTTAGAAAAATGTTCAAAAATCTTTGATTCTGATAATAAATGGGCACTGCCATTATATTTTATTCCACGAGGAAAAAAATAAAATTTTTAAAACTTTGTTTTAAGTCTAGTTAATAGTTTTTGATACTAGAAAGAAGTTCTAAAACCATTGAGTCTAGTAATAAATGGGCACAATAATTTTTAAAATTTTGTTTTAAGCCTAGTTAAAGTTTATGATATTAAAGATGTTCTAATACCTTAGGGTCTAGTAATAAATTGGCACTGACATTTAATTTTAGTCCACGAGGAAAATTTTTTTTTTAAACTTTGTTTTAGTTAAAAGTTTGTGATATTAGAAATATGTTCAAAACCTATGGGTATAGCAATAAATTGACATTGCCATCATATTTTACTCCATAAAAAATAAAATTATGAAAATTTTAAATTTGTTTTAAGCTTTTATAAGTTTTTAATCCCAATAAGATATTCTCTAATCCTTAGGATCCAGTAGGCCTATTCAAAAAAAATTCGAATATTACGATTCGAATAATTCGAATAGAAACGAATAATTACGAATACGAATAATAAATTATTTGTTTTATCCGAATACGAATAATCATTTATTCGATTCGAATAAAACGAATTATTCGTAATATTTAATAAATTGCTTTTTTTAAAATAAATCTAACATTTGTCATTTCTATTTGATAACCTGCCAATCTGACAGGTGATGTGTTTATAAAAAGACTAGCAAAAATTTTAATTTCCCGTATTTTTTCAAAATTAATTATATTAAAAATTACACAAACCAAAAGTATATAAAAATATATACAAACCAAAGGTATATAAAAATAAATTATATCTTTATAATAAAATATTATTAGCTAGCCTAATTATGTTAGAGGAGAATGATTCTGATGTAATAGTTATGGTTGATGTTGACAAAATTTCTTCACTAAAAAGAGGGATTATATGGGATCAATATCAACTCAATGGTGAAAAGACTGCTTGCAATCATTGCAGGAGCATTATTAAATGCAAAGGTAAAACAACATCGCCTCATATTAATCATTATAATAGGTTTCATTCACATCTCTGTAAAAACAGTAATAAATTTGACACTTTTTTAAAGCCTATATCACCTTTTTCTTTATCTAAAAAAATTAATTATAAAGATAACTTACTAAAATTATTTATTAATAATAATTTATCTTTTAAAATTGTTAATTCATCTGATTTTAAAAATTTTATAAATGATCTTGATTCTTCTATAAAATCAATATGCTCCAATACTATTAAATTGCATATGTATAATACATTTGCAGAAAAAGAACAGTTGGTAAAGGATAAAATATCCAAAACTAAAAGTCAGATTAATTTTTCATCTGATATTTGGACTAGCCCAACTCAGGTTCCTTTTTTAGGGTTAACAGCCCATTTTATTGATGATAATTTTAAAATAAATAACATAATTTTGGATGTTGCTCCAATAAATGAACAACATTCAGGTGAAAACATATTTAAAGCCTTTATTAAAATAATTAAAAATTATAATTTGGAGAATAAAATTTTTTATATAACTCTAGATAATGCTACTAATAATAAAACATTTATTGATACATTTTCTTTAAAATATCCATCAATAAAAATAGGGCACATTCTATGCTTTGCTCATGTTATTAATTTAATATCCAAAGAAATTTTAAAATTAAAACTACGAAACATTATTAGGATGATACGTAATTCTCCTAAAAAATTAAATTTATTAAAAAATATATGTAGTTGACTACATCCTCCTATAAATTTTTTAAAACCAATTGGATTGTGAAATAAGGTGGAATAGCACCTACCAAATGATTGAAAGGGGCTTATTGTTAAAACCTGCTATAAAAAAATTAGTTAATGAAGTTATAACTAATATTATAATTCTTCAAGAAAAACAATTATCAGAGGTAAACTAAAATTTATAAATAGGTAAATAATACTTTATCATAACATACAGGAGGAATGGGACGATCTTGTAAAAATTAAATCTATCCTATTGCCTTTGTAGAGGTAGGGACTATTGGGCTAGTAGGCACATCAGTCAACGTGGGAATGGTAACTATAGGTTGTGCGAGGGCAAGGCATTTAGGGTTCGAGGGATAGCTGGTGATAAGATGGGAAGCCCAGATTGAGGACATTTTATCTTCTGGTTTCGATAAGATGGAAACCCAGATTGAGGACATTTTATCTTCTGGTTTCGATAAGATGGAAACCCAGATTGAGGACATTTTATCTTCTGGTTTCGATGAGATGGCAATAGCCCCAATTTGGTTACTTTAACAAGTTTATTACATAGAGGGCAGTTAGATTTGGTAGAAGCTGTGCTGAGGTCTGGTAAGCTCATGAATTAAAATAGCTTGTAATATTTAGTTCATGGAGGGGTTTTGCAATAGTAAGCTGTAGAGTCCATATTCTTCTAGTACAATGTAATTAACTATCAGTCATTTTTGTAAAATATTCAGTTTCCCTTTCTGCTTTTATAGCAATATTAGCTTGCTTTAAAGGATTCGAATCAATAGTATAATTAGATAAGAGATTAAATGTATTATCCTTTTCAAGTGTGAATATTGATTGTGTTTTGTACATTTAAATAAAATGTTTGGATGACAATTTTATATTAGTCAACAGTTTTTGGTATAAATAAGGGTAAATTGTAAAGATTGGTAAGATTGATAGAATTGATAATGTAGAGTGTTATGTTGGGAATAATATAAAAAAACTTGTTGGTTATTAATTGATGTATAATAATTGAGGATGATTGGTAATCTAAAAGTAAAGGAAATGTTAAAGGAGAAAATATTTACTTAAATTTCTTGTATCATTAATCTACAATTAAATTTTGATATATTGGAATTGTATAGAATTCATTGATGCAAAATTATGAAAGAGGACTGAATATTTTGGATGATAAAATCATTTTTATGTCCGGTTGTGGTGTTGGCAGTGGTTGTAGTGTTGGCAGTGGTTGTAGTGTTGGCAGTGGTTGTAGTGTTGGCAGTGGTTGTGGTGTTGGCAGTGGTTATAATGTTGGCAGTGATTGTAGTGTTGGCAGTAGTTGTAGTTTTATCGTTAGATTAATCAGGCGTAGCTTGTCCGTATAATTTATTGATCTTATAGATATCATTTAAACGCTTTCATTGATTAATTTTTTAAATTCATAAATGAATAATATAATATTTTAATTTTGTTTATAACTTGATTATATTTATTTGTCATCGGAT